GTTTCATAGGTTCTCATAAGACCTGTTGCAATTTTTTGAATCGATTTATGAGTCAGGACCGATGGGGGAACTGGCCAGTTAGGGGATTCTCACTCTTTTACATAAAAATGGGGGATAAAACAAATATAAGAAATTATAGACCCATAACTTTACTTACCGTGGTTTATAAAATATTGGCTAAGACATTGGTTAATCGTATGATTCCGGTAATGACAGATATTATATATCCCTCACAAACTGGATTTATAAATGACGGACACATTCAGGATAATATTCTTTTAATTAATGAGATTAAGGTCTCTCGCCAATTGAAATAGAATGCTACTTTCATTTTCATTTACTTTGAAAAAACCTATGATCATGTAGCTTGGCGTTTTTTTTTATACTTGTGTGAATCAAATGAATTTTGGCCCAAATTTAAGAAAATAGGTGAGAATTCTTCATACGAATGCCACAACGAGGGTGCTAGTTAATGGTTCCTTTCTCCGGAAATTAGATTACAGAGATCGGTTAGGCAAGGAGATACTTTGGCTCCTTTTCTGTTTCTTATCATAATGGAAGTTTTAGGGGTCAATCTCAGAACTAATCGCAATTTGAAACGGTTGCAGATTTCAGATATCCCAGAAGATGCTATCCTCATCACCTCAATCTTTGTTGATGATCTCACAGTAATGTTAGAAGCATCTTTGTCAAACATGGAGGAGATCCAAAGCCTAACGAGTAAATTCACACAAGTCTCTATCATGGTGGTTAACTGGGGCAACAAAACTCAAGGGTGGTGGATTCATTCCAATGGTGACCGTCCCCCGAAGCTTCCAAGAATTTAATGGTTACCTCTAGAAGCCTCGGTACGCATCCTGGGAGTGCCACTTACAGCATTAGGTAAACCTTTTACCCATGAAGAAGGGATTTGCAAACCAACATTAGAAAAAATGATTCAATGGAAAAATCAACACACTTCTCTTTTGGAAGGGCATTTATTATTAACAATGTAATCCTAGCTTTCATCTCGTATAAATCAGCCCTCGGGTCCATAGGATAGGCGCAAACAAAAGTACTTCAAAGATAAGTCACAACATTCTTATGGACAAGGAATCATGAGCAGGACAAGGTGATTCCAAGGGTGGCTTGACTTTCGATAATCCAACCAAAAACAAAGGGGGGCCTGAGAATCTTGGATCCTACGCTCCAATATCAGGCTTTATCCATCCAGTGGATGAAAATTTTGATCTTATCCACTGGCAAACCATGGCAGGGAATGGTATTGGAACAGATTCGTAGGCTTGCCCCCTTGTCTGATGAGAGTTATTACCCTCTCACATGGATTGAGGATCGATTCTGGTCCATCCCAAGGGCTCACACACACTCTAGAGAGGAAGGGGATCGGGGTAGAGCTAGAAGTGATCTTAGTCTGGACAATTTGTGAGGTAACCAGCCCTGGTTCCTATCCTTGATGATACACGTACATTCTCGAAAAAGAAAAGAAAAGAAAAGAAAAGAAAAGAAAAGAAAAGAAAAGAAAAGAAAAGAGAGGTGAAGCTCCAGCGGGATGTCGCTAGCCAACGGCTAGGGTGGCCACAATCAAGCCTCCAGCTTCATCGGACAGACTGGTACCATTCAGACGCTTCAAGCAACACAACAGTAGACAACATCCGGGATGAGGACCATCCAATGTGGCCGCAAGGAAGTAATGAGAGGGCAATACTTCAAGCTGGTTGGCTTACCAGTACTACAGTTATCATGCAGATCTGACCGTCCATAAAGACAAGACAGCGTGGAACATATGACGGAACACATCCTGAACACTGTAAGGACAGGCAGAAGGAGCATTGTCACGTCAGCATCTTCTATAGGTTCATCATGTCAAGCAAACCTAGCAAGACCTGGAGTGAGAGGAACCAAGAAGTAAAGGCTAGCAGACAGTCAATCTTCCAGGACATGGAGTTGTCTGTGCTGTTCATAAGTCCTTCGGAGGAAGGAATCATACCTGTGTCCTGTCAAGAAGAAACCAGACTGATACTCCCCAAATGGATACGGAGCCAGCCTGTGGCATACTCCGTACGACACGGGCCCAACAGAGCCCGACCTGGTAGACTAAGGGTCCGTAGGGGTAGGGCCTGTTTCAGGCCCTGTGTCGTTTCGGCCTCCAGCCTGAAAACGACGGGCCATTTTCAGGCCCTCACAAGATCGACCTACCCTGAAACTCAGGCACCAGACCGGGTTCTTAGCTCAGGCCTTTAAGGCCTATTTCGTGGAGCGTCAACCCCAGGGTCTGGCACGTTTTGGCATAGGTACGAGCAGCCTCTTGGATGGGCCAGCACTATACAATGTTGACCCGCCCTGCAGGCTGCAGGCAATTCCTAGGCACTTCACGCGCAGAAGGCAGGAGGTAGTCTTCAGGACTCGGCAACGACACTCTGGAGTAGTAGTAGTGATAGCAGTAGTCTTCAGCGCTGGGCGCTAGTAGGAGAGAGAGAGAGATGGTTGGCGGAAGCCAGGGATAATCACCTGCGGCGCCATAGCTCCAGCTTTGTCTTCGAGGTACCTGCAGCAAAACGCCACCTTCACAGGTTAGTATCAGAGAGAGAGAGAGAGAGAGAGAGAGAGAGAGAGAGAGAGAGAGAGAGAGAGAGAGAGAGAGAGAGAGAGAG